GCTATTTCCTAAATAAAATATAGATATTTGCTTTCTATATAGTTCATAAGACAGAAAATATTTTCAATATTATAGACAAAAAACCCATACTTTTCTTTCAGTAAATAACTAATATGTGCTTGCGAAATGTGCAAAGATACCTGTTGTCACTCAGATTTAAGACTCTTAGTTTCTGCATCTGTCCAATCTCTTCAGGAAGAAATTCCAGTTTATTGGAGCGTAGAGACATGACTGTTACATTCTTACAACTTCCAATCTATAGGTAACAAAAGAAAATACGTAAGGAATCACAGTGTAATACTATTTTTATATTAGCTTTTCTAATTTATAAAACGATTTAGTTAAGTGACAGATTTCCTTATCACTTTTAACTTTCTCTTAGTTTGTGTTTTATTTTTTATAATCTTGCTTTTTAGAATATATGCATATATCATAATCTTTTAAATGTCAAGGCAATTTATACCTAATATTGTTTTACATAGTAAAAAAATTTTTGTTATTTTAATATTAAAATACTTATTAACATCATTGTTTTCATAAATCACAATTTTGTCTATCAAGTGAATACTAAAATATCTGTATTTATAATGGAAGATCATACATACTCAAAAAGGAAAACATTATTGACATTTCCTTGGCATAGTTAGTTTTATTGCACATTACAGTGGTATTTGTCATTTTTATTTATAACTTTTGGCTCTAAAATAATGATATATTGATTATTCTTCCATCATTATGAAAGTGTTTAGTAGACAATGTTAAATTGAAAATATACTTCATACTTTTTTCTTGACATCAGCAAATAAAATCCCATTTAGAGATAACATAGTAAAAAACATCTCTTTCAGAGATAAAAATTAACAGAATTTGGAGGATCCTGAAGTTAAAATAATATTATAATGCCATATGACATCTTAAAAAAGATATGCACATTAAAAAATTTGCTTCAGAAATAGAAATATAATTACCCCAAAATGTTATTTATAACTTCTTAAAAGCAAAATATATAAATTAAATGATTTAAAATGGTATTCCTTAGCATTGATTAACTTATGATATTTTATTACTTTTCTTTGCATGTAGTGTTTAAGTCAAATACATTTTCTGGGTCAAATATAAGAACTTGTCACTTGTCACTTAAAATAGAGTGATTAACAAATACATATGTAGATAATTCCTATATATATTCACAGCTCAACTCATGAATCTGCTATTACCTGTTAAGATTATATTTCAAAACGGATTCATTAAAAGATAGCACAACAAAGTGACTATAATCAACAATAAGTTAGGGTACACTTTAAAATAACTAAAAGAGTGGAATTAGAATGTTCCTAACACAAAGAAATGATAAATGTCTGAGGTGTTGGATACCCCAATTAACTCACATTGTATGCCTGTATCAAAAAGTCACATGTACCTTATAAAGATATACAACTCTTATGTACCCATAATAATTTTTTAAAAAGTTAATTAATAGAAAACAAGTTTATTCCTCACTTCTCTGGGTAATTCTGGAAGGAAATTCTCATCGACTGCTAATGTACGAAGACTATGAAGGTAGCCAATAGTAGACGGTAGCGACTCCAGTTCATTACAGCTACAGTCAAATTCTTCTAATAAAGATAAACTGAAAAGTTAAATACATTAGTTAGACATTTTAAAAGGTGAGTTGGCAAAAAAATTTTTCAAAAAATCCACATATCCAAAATTCACTAAATGAAAGTTATTCATGTGGTAATAGCATATTATATAAATTATCAGTCAAATTTCTTCCATCGAATAAGTGGTTTAACTTGGTAAAATAATTATAGCCTACTTTTTCCCTTTCTAAATTCACCTGTCACTGAGCCAATGAAAACGACAGAAGGATTTTTTTTTTTGTTTGCAATTTAGGTATCCTTTGTAGCCAGATGTTCAGAATGTATATCCTTGGGTAGGTAGAAGGATAGAGAGGGCAGGTCCAAGTGAGGATTGAGGGGAAAAACAACAAAAACAAAAACAATGATGAAATGCTAGGTATTTTACTAAGGATTTTGGGGATTAAAGGAAAAAAACCCTAATCTCTTCCTCATAAAAACTGTACATGCTACTATTTAAAAGCTCCCTACTATTTTAAAGCTCATTTTACAGATAAGGAAAATGAGGCCTAAAGATGCTACCTAACTTGCTCAAGGCCACATAAAGTAGCAAAGCTGGAACTTAAATGCAGACCCTGGGGCTTCACCATATTCTCTTGCCTCTTAGCATAGCATCTGCAACAGAGGATATGGACAGGTCTCATTTCAGCCCGCAGATGTGTTTTGTGGGGTTTATAGAGTGGCATTTTAAAAAGCATTTAATTATCTAAGTATTTAAAATTTTACATAATGACTCAGATTTTTGGTGCCTCGAGGATGATCTGCATTATGGAGAGGGTGGAGTTAGTTCCCAAGTCTGTGTACAGTTAGACAAATCCAGTACCATTGTGGATGGGTCAGGAAAAAAATAGAATGCAATCAGGACCAGCCTGACTGACCAGGGTCACTCAAGGTTCATCACCTTAACAGGTTCAGTAGGTTAGAACCAGTTGTGGTGAAACACGGCATTCAATTTTGAATAACAGCTCTTAGAAAAGTGCTGCTTACTGTGTCTATATAAAATTTCCTTTTATATAGACAAGTCATATAACTTCTCTCTAAGCCCCAGATTCTTTATATTTGTAATGAGGATACTAATAATTGCTGCCTCATGCAGTTGCTCTATTTCATGAAATGTTGTAGGTAAAAAGCTTAGCACATCTATTGGATGTTGGGCAGGGGGGAGGAGGGAGGGGGGAGGAGGGAGGAGGGGACGGGTATATGCATATACAAAGAGTGCAAGGCGCACCACCTGAAGGATGGACATATTTGAAACTCGGACTTAGGGGGGGAGGGGGGGCAAGGGCAACATACGTAACCTAAACATCTGTACCCCCATAATATGCTGAAATTAAAAAAAAAAAAAAAGCTTAGCACAATATCTGTCATAAAATACATGCTCAGTAAATTTTTTCTCTTATTATTAGTGAACCTGGTTAAATTTGTTTCTAAATCTTTTCAGGCCCTCGCATGCAGGGACAGTTATGGATGCCAGGGTGTGCATGGCTGTATGACTCTGTGTGTATGTGTGTGTGTGTTGTGGGGGGGGGGCAGAAAGCAATATATGTGGGAAACCCACTAACAGAATTTATTTCTTCCTCAAAAAAAAAAAAGTCTAGCACTGTGTCTTACACATATAACGTACTTAACAAATGTTTTAGAATTGCATAAAAAGATTTCTGTCAATAGTATGGGCCAGATTCTCAGCAAGTAGACATAAAAATATAGGGACTTTTAAAAATAAAAATATATGTTCAGAGATAGAAGTCAAAGATGGTATTTAATTAAAAATATATAATTAATGTTTCTCATTTCTTTCTTTCTTTTATAAAAATGTGTTGTAAAGTTAATCTTGGTCACAGTAAGGGAGTCCTCGCTTTGAACAGTTCTAAAATGTACAAATTTCAGTTGTTATGTTTCATTAGATAACACTAGTCCCCCAACAACATGGCTCAAATTTTCCATATTTTAACAACATGGCTCAAATTTTCCATATTTTAACTGCGAGTAACCACATAAAGTATCACAGTTTCTTCAGTCTACAAATCACAACGTGAATAACAGATGCACATGCTGATCAATGACGAGTCACATCCCTTCCCTGAAAGTCTATCAGTGATCGGTCGCTGCACATCTGTTATTCAGCTCACACATAGACAGCAAATCATGCAGTTGTGTTGCCTCCTTGTCTCCCAGTAGTAGACAAATACTATAGGCAAAATAATTTAGCCATTAAAGCACTACTACTGTTGGATAATGTTTTTGGTCACCCTAATTCTCTTGGAGATTTAAATGAAAATGTGAAAACTTGCTTTTTATCACCCAGGACAACCTCATTAATCCAGCTGATAAATACCAAGGAGTTATTTCAACTTTTAAAGACTATTATTTTATAGAGACTTTTGAATAGGCTATTCGTGCTACAGCTGGTGATCATGCAGTTTCTTTACCTGAGCTCTAGATGAAATATGACACGAAACAATTGAAAATACTGGAGCATCACGGAAGGAAATAACAGCAAGTAATATGCATGCATCATAGCAGAAACTTTTAGCACATTGTGGAAATTACTTTGCATCATTTGAATTGAACGTAAATGGAGTTACAGAAGAAAGAGCTGCCCGTTTGAATGTTGACATTGCTACTATTAGAGAGATCCTAGGTAAGCTGCCAGGTGAATTTAGTGAAGGCAAACTTAACCACGTAAATGAGGAATGTGATTTTGATCAAAAGGATGAAGTTTTAGAAGAGGAAGTGATAATGGTAATATATTTCACATTAAAAGAACTCTCAGAGATATTACATGACACTGAAAGCACAAAGGATAAAATTTGTGGAAGCTGATTCAAACTTAAAGAGGAGGATGACAATTCACCCAGGTACATAAAAGATACTCACTCTGTATCGTAACTTACACTATGAAAAGAAGGCGGCAGGCACTGTTCTAACAAATCTTAATAAGTTCTTTATTAAAAAATACACTTTAAATTTCAATATTCCTAATGTTTAACATTACAGTGTACTAAATAAATACTATTTTTACTATTTTTCTGTTTCCTTATACATTTGTAATCTACAGTAACAGTATTTAAAGTTTTGATAAAAGGTTTTAAAGACCTTGTGTAAGAACAATCATAATTTTTCCCATTTATTATTAAGACTGTTTTGCAGTTTCAGATTGCATGGTTATTTTTATGGTCCCTGTGATAGTGTGATTTATAATAAGAAATATATATTTGGTCTTTGTCCAGTTCTTGGCACAGAGCTCCTAAAACCCTTGGAATGTCCAAAGGGATAAGTGTCTTTTTGTATGCTAATGAGATGATTTATGACTAGGGCCTCTAGAGTACCCTCAGAATGAGGACTGATTTCAGGGGTCTTTCGGTCCCACCCCCAGACCTCTGGGGAGGGGACTGGGGCTGAAGGTTGAGTTGATCACCAATGGCCAATGATGTAATCAATCATGCCGACATAATGAAGCCTCCATAAAAACCCAACAGGATAAGGTTTGTAGAGCTTCTGGGTTGCCAAATACATGGCAGTTCTGGGAAGATGTCATGCCCGGAAAGGGCATGGAAGCTCCGTATCCTTTCCCACACACCTTTCCTTATATACTTTTTCATGTGGCTACTAATCTGTATGCCACATGAATGTGTATATCCTTTATAATAAACTGTTTAATGTGTTTCCCTGATTTTTGTGAGCCATTCAGGCAAATGATCGAACCTGAAGAAGGAGTCATAGGAACCCCCAATTTATAGGTGATCGGTCAGAAGTACAGGAGGCCTGGATTTGTGGTTGGCATCTAAAGTGGGGGCAGTCTTGTGGGACTGAGCCCTTAACCTGCAGGACCTGATTCTAACTCCAGGGAGATGTGTCAGAATCCAGTTAAATTGTAGCATACCCAGTTGGTGTCCACAGGGAATTGGGAATTGCTTGGCATGGGAAAAACCCACACATTTTGGTGACCAGAAGTATTCTGTGTTGAGTGATAAGAGTACAGTAGGAAAAACACTGTTTGGTGTTTCCTCTACAGTCCCACACTACTGTACAAAGCAAGGCCTTCCTGAGGCAAAAAGACAGTATTTTGACTGCATCATGGGCTATGCTGAATTAATAATTTAGAGCCTGAAAGTATTTTATATCTTTGGGTTATAACAAGCAGCTAGTAGGTGCCAAACACACATCCCTTAATGATCTCTAAAATTCCAAAGATTCAAACTCATAACCTACAATTCCAGCTGACTTTATTAATGGCTGTCTTGTTAAAAATCACTTAAGATGTTTTAATATAAGATCCTATATGAAAAGTTATCACATTTAATCAGATCATCACCGATATTTGTAATAATGAAGTAAAAAAATAGACCAAAGTTTACCTTTTATTTTTTAAGAAGCTTTATCTCTATAATTGTACATATGGAAAGTGAAAACGAGTTGCAGAGAAAGTGTAAAGTACTTTAACACACTGTTTCCCAAACTTCAGTGTGCATACCAGTCCCCAGGAGAATGTGCTAAAATGCAGATTCTAATTCAGTGTTTGGGGCAGGGCTGCAAAGCCCAGCCCCTGCATCTGTAACCATCTCCTAGATAATTAGATGCTGCTTGTCCAGGAGCCACACGTTGAGTTTCAAGCCTTTAAATAACTCTTCCAAATTTTTCAAGAGTAACATTTAGACACATACAACAGACATGTCAATAACAGTTAAAATACACAGAAACATTACAAAGAGTTGTACTGAGGTCACACAGGTATCAGAATGATGACATTACTGGGAGAAACAATGTTTGAAATCAAAGGACAGTACTGACTTCATTTTATAACAGTATTCTCTCTACTGTTCTCTAGTTTGGTCTTCCTGAGTTGCTCTTGGTTGGGAAGATATTTTTATACCATTAACTCGCAATTACCTAGCTAATAGAGGAGAAGGATTGTGAATATGTTACATAAATAATCTATAATGTCACTTTAATATCATTTATGACCACAAGATATCATTAAATCTCCTAT